ACCCCAACGGCTATATTGAACAAACACAAGAACCATGCTTGGCATGAATAATCTTCGTGGATGGAGCTCAAGACCGCTGCGAAGGCCTTCACCAAGTGTCTTCATGCAGTTACGGTAATAATGGTGACGGCAGCAAGGATCTCACAAGAGCCAATGCATCGAACATCTATCATTTATGGGGTGCCTAAACTCCACTCAAAAATGATTTTTTTTCGAAAGTGTGTAACACTTTCTAAAAATGCGTATTGTGAAAGCGCAGCTGACTGTAGCGCAGCAAGGCAACTGCGAATTACCATTCGCCGAATATATAAGAGGGTTGGAGGCCATTCGGCCTCCACCCACGTCTTCATTTTGGAACTTTGCAGTTCCTCTCCATTCTCGTCCAACCACTTAGTTTTTCCGTTGTCACTTTGATTCTTTCACTAACTCGTAGACAAGACAGACTTATCAACCGTGAAAGGCAACGGAAGCACACATGCGACTATACCTGGCGTGCGTTCAACTGAAAGCGAAGTGCGCCGGAGGAAATTGCAACTGGCACGCCAAGGACGAAATCGCCAGTGGCGCGCGCCATGGACGAAATCGCCAGTGGCGCGCGCCAAGGACGAAATCGCCACTGGCGCCAGTGGCGCGCGCCAGGGACGAAATCGCCACTGGCGCCAGTGGCGCGCGTCAGGGACGGAATCGCCACTGGCGCCAGTGGCGCGCGCCAGGGACGAAATCGCCACACGCTCGCCTGCAGCTCTTGCGCCAGTGGCGAAATCGCCACACGCTCGCCCGCAGCACTTGCGCCAGTGGCGAAATCGACACACGCACACCTGTGCCACGAAATCGCCACTAGAGCGGCAGTGACAGGACTTCCTTGACTGGGAGCCAATCACCAATTTTGAGTCGTTTGTTTAAGTGCTGCAAGCCTTTTCATTTATTTTTTCTGTTATGTCATCTCCTCTTATTGTCTATTAATCCCCCCGCTGCTTCAATCCCTTGGTGGCAGAAAACTGGGCTCAACCCCAAGAAAACCGGGCTCAACACCACAAAAGTGGGACTCCACCAGTCGCGGGGAAGAAATCGCACCAGCGACAAGATCAACCGCATGCGCACCCAGGGACACCCCCCAATGAAAATACGGGACCGTGGGTCCTCGTGTGGCCTAAGAGTCGTTCCCCAGGGGGGGGGGGAGGGGACCGAGGGCCCCCGCGTGGCCTGAGAGCCGTCCCCCAGGGGGGGAGGGGACCGAGGGTCCCCGCGTGGCCTGAGAGCCGTCCCCCAGGGGGGGAGGGGACCGAGGGTCCCCGCGTGGCCTGAGAGCAGTCCCCCAGGGGGGGAAGGGGACCGAAGGTCCCCGTGTGGCCTGAGAGCAGTCCCTTAGGGGGGGAAGGGGACTGAGGGTCCCCGCGTGGCCTGAGAGCAGTCCCTTAGGGGGGGAAGGGGACCGAAGGTCCCCGTGTGGGCTGAGAACCGTCCCCCAGGGAGGAAAGGGGACCGAGGGTCTGGGGGGTGGCCTGAGAGCCGCCCCCTAGGGGGGAGAGGGGACCAAGGGTCCCCGTGTGGCTCGAGAGCTGTTTTTACGTACGAGGGAATAGTGGCCCGAAGTTCTGCGCTAGCCAGAAGTCCATTGCCTTCAGGAAAGACATGTAGACTCTAATGTTGGATGCGCAGAACCTGATTGTACGGTATACGTTGATGTGGATCATCCTTGGTTATTGCAATGTGCATAAGTTAAAAACGAGGAGTTTTTTAGCCCCACCGTGAGCATTTTGACCCAAAATTGTTGATTCTAAGCCCCACCTAAAATTAGGGGAGAATTTGATTGGAGCGATCTGATTACAAATGTTTGGTTGGTAAAGGGCAACTATGGAAGGTTTTTGAATCTCACTGGTTACACACACCTAACCTCAACCTCAATCATTGTTTTCTTTGCATGAGGGCAATGCGGAAGGGATAAGGCTTTCGCCATCGTGCACTGCACATCCACCTTGTTCTATCATACCGGTACATGCTTGACAAGCGAGGTACATGATTCTCAATGATTGAGAAATGTTGGGTACCCATCAGCAGTCCGCGCATCGAATTAACATGGATGCGCCGTTGGGAGTTAAGGATTGACTCTTCATGAAGTTCTCGTCTAACCACCACGCCAGACAGCTTCCCCTACTATGGTATCCAGTTCAAGTTCAGACACTCGCGCTGTAGATAGTCGGGAGCATCAAACTGCTTGAAGCGCACACCACATTGAAATGTCAATCGCATAATACCGTAGCAGATTTCATTGTTTCATATTCGACACCCAGGGTCCCGTTAGTGGTCAGAGGGCCATTTCCCGAGGGGAAAGGAGCAGAAGGTCCTTGATGGCCAGAGGGTTGTTCCCCAAGGAAGGGAGGCTGGTATGATACTTATTGTGGCCTTATAATGGAGATATTTATACGATTTTGGTTGCTGAGAAGAGTCATCTTTCACTGTTGATCAAGGGAAATAGGAGTCCAACTTTTCATAATACCGTATATATGCTTGGACGCATGCACCATGCGGTGAACATGGAAGCACATTGCCCAAACTCGCTCCCATCTGCGTGTAATTCACATCGCCGTTGGCTAGCAAGCACACTATTAGGCCCTGCATGGCCATAGAGTAGTTTGGAGGTGCTCACACAGTCGTCTAATCAAGGTTATCGAACCTGCGTAGATCAACTCCGTTGATGGTCAGATCCTCATACCATTTGACACACCAAGATCTGCGTTGCGGTACTCTACATAAAAAACTAAAGGGATGCATCGAGCTCTAGTCAACGACTGAAGATATCGGCCATGATACTCCTAGGGCAACGGAGACAAGCGAGTGTTCGGTTGAAAGAGCGTTGCTTTACAATAACTTATCGTTTTTGTGAAACGAAATCCATATTCCAAATGATGGCATGGATGAAATTTCCTACCGGTCGATATATTTGACTAGCGTTCATATAGTACTCTTCCTAGCGCATCCCTTACGCCTCAGACTACACCCATCCCAAGCTACCCAACCTCCTTCCCTAGTTGCGATTTCTCTTCCTGATGGTTGTGCGCCAGTTGGCATCCTTCCTTCCGTGGGAGTTTTGTCCTTTGGTGTGTTCCAGCGAACACCTGCGAACATGAAAGGCAGCTCATGACACTAAAACTCATTCAGAAAAAATGCAGTTGCCGCTCAATCCGTCACATAGAAATCACTCGCATGTTATCGTGCTTTGTTATCCATCCGTCAGCTCGTTCGCATCCTCAACAGTGAACAACAGATGTCGTCGAATCCTGACGGTCGCAATTATTCATCGAGGGCTGACATGCACCGACATCCAGCTACATGGTCACTTCGGACACGCCCGAAAACACCAACTACCACCAGTTCAACACACTCTACTCTACTGCCGCACCAACAACCAGGACATCCACCACACCCAGGGAACGAGCAATCTCCATGCACAACATTCCGAACCCTATCAACACGGAGAGCGCAATTACAAACGGCACCCCTCTCAGCACTTCGTCGACGCCATCAATCGCAACTACACGTCCTCAACGTCCCCAACCACACATGTCTCAGACGACCCAATTCTAATGAAGCACGTTGCCATTGCAAGAACAGAAAGCAAGCTTTCTCAATATGATTTTTTTCGAAAGTGTGTAACACTTTCTAAAAATGCGTATTGTGAAAGCGCAGCTGACTGTAGCGCAGCAAGGCAACTGCGAATTACCATTCGCCGAATATATAAGAGGGTTGGAGGCCATTCGGCCTCCACCCACGTCTTCATTTTGGAACTTTGCAGTTCCTCTCCCCACCCACCCACCCTGATCATTTACATGTATGATTTATGGTTGGACGAGAATGCTGTAATTACTGCAATTCTAATGAAGCACGTTGCCATTGCAAGAACAGAAAGCAAGCTTTCTCAATTTACACTCGTATAATCATGCCAGCCCTCAGGAACACCCTTCTAGCTCTCTCTGTGACTTTCACCTTCTCCACCTTCAACCACCGTAGCTTCGGGAAACTCCCTAGAATACCCCCGATACTCTCTGCTGTCACCTTGGGACATGCTACAACACTGAAACGTGTGAGCTTTTCCAGTCTACACTCCGAAATCACCCGGTCGGAGAACGCGTCATTGTAGTCCACAAGGAGATGCTCTAAACGAGGACAGGACTGGAAAATCTCATGGAAATCCCTCCCTTCAAGCCCCGAACAAGCGTGCAGGGACAGTCGTCTCAGCTCCGTAAACGCACGGAAAGACGGGTGGCGTGAGGGAGGTGGAGGGAAGGGGGAAGTCGAAACCACGGAGAGAAAAACATCCGAGCGAAACTCAAAGCAGTGGAGAGAGAGGGACTCCAAAGGCACAACTTTTGCCTCCACGTATGAAGGTGGAGCAGGTGCGTCCACTGGTGCAGGTGCGTCCACTGGTGCAGTCGTGCTCAAGCCTAGAGTTGCATCTAGTCCCTCTCCTCGTCCTATTCCTGCACCTCCTTCCCCACCTTCTCCCACTCCACCACCTCCTCCCCTCCCTCCTCTTTCATGCTGCACGTCACCCAGCCAATCAATCACAATGCCAGCAACAGCAAACAACGATCCTCGAGGCGGCTCAATGCTCCCTACACCCAGCATGCCTGCAATATCCCACACGGACCCCTTTCCATACTCCAACCGCAGTGACTTCAATCGCGTGCACCCAGCAAGAGCGTCCGGAATCAGCATCGGCATGCCACTAAGCGTCAGCGATTCTAAAGCGCCGGCGACGGATTTAAGCGCCGCTTCAATCCCCACATGGCTGAAGAGACGCCTGTTGCCCCGGAGGGAGAGAGACACAAGAGATGAATTAGCAGCGGTTAAAGCGGCCACCGCAGAGGAGGGAATCATGTGGCAGTCTTGGATGGTCAGGTGGGTGAGTGTGTGGAGGGAGCACGAGAGAGAGTGCATTTCAGGGGGACTGATTTGCGAGCATTGGCAGAGAGCGAGTGAAGAGAGGAGAGGGAAAGCACCGAGGGATGCCAGGGAAGTTGTGACTGATGCTGATGTGAGGGTGAAGGATTGGAGGGCGGGGAGAGAGGGGGAGGAGGAGGAGAGGGAGGAGAGAAGCGGGTTGGTAAGGTGCCAGAGGGAGAGGGAGGTGAGGAAGGAGCAGTGCGAGAGGGAGGAGATTTGCACTGGGAGGCCGTCTAGGCGGTAAAGTGTGAGGGAGAGCAGCGAGGGGAAGGCAGAGAGGGGCGGGCAGACTGCTTTGGCGGAAACAAGGCGGAGCTCGAGCGCCTTGAGCGCGCTGGTAGGGTTGGGGGAGGGGGGAAAGGTGGGAGGGGGAAGGGGGAAGAAGGCGAAAGGGGGGAGAGAGCGAGGGGGGGGTGAGGTCACAGAGGAAAGATGATGTGGAGAAAGGTGAAGAGGTGTTGCAGGTTTTTTTTTAAGAATTCTCAAAAAGGCGAATAGGTGTGTGGTACACAATGGTCGAAAATTGTGATGAGTGGAAACAGAAACCACGGCGATCTCACATGTAGTAGGCACAGGACGAAGCTTGAATGTGCGCGAATCTACTTAAATAAGACACAGATATTAAACAAAAACTAGCAAAATGAATCCGAGCACTCACCGGCACTGTGCACTGAACGTCCTCCATCCATTATCCGTCACCCCCTCGCATCCCACGAGGCTCAGCCGCTCCAGCTGCGAGCATCTCGATCCGACGGCCAGCAGCAGCTCATCGCCAACCGTCGATTTCCCTCGATCGTTGATCACGGAGAGATCCTCGAGAGCCGAGCATCGCCGAAGCAGCGATTCGAGAATCTGGGCATGGGGAGTCCCCTGGCGGGCCTTGTAGGTCAGGTTGCGGCGAGAACAATTTTCGAGTTCGCGAAATCGCGAACATGCGAGAGCTACGTTTCGTCGATCGGCGGGATTTTCGAGCTGACGTACGATAGACGTCAGCACCTCGTCGGGGAGATCGAGGATGAGACCAGCCCCGCGCCGCTTCATGGTTCTGATGGAGAAGCCCCACGCTGATTCAGATTACTCTCTTACAGAAATAAAGGGCGACTTCGAGATTCAGAGAGGAACAGAAAAAAACCCGCCTCGTAATATTCCGGCGCTAGACCTAACAACGAGTGTCATACTCTCCCTAGCAACGCATCCGTACCGACAGCAGAGGCGCGTTGAGCGGCGGCAATTCGGAGCTCTCAATCCTGGTCTGGATAGCACCAGACCCGTCAAATGTTAGCACCAGACCCGTCAAATGTTGGCACCAGGCTTTGGATTGGCTCTGTATCAGAAATATTTCCGCCAAAGCACAATTATTTAGTGACATATCCGTAGTACACATTTAGTTACACACGAGCACCAGTGATATGAGTTGTACTAAGAAGAGTGCGCGGAAGACTTTATAAAAGGATGTCGAATACAGAATGTCGAGAATGATAAAGAGGCATGCATTTATAGGGTCGAAACCGTGGTAGGCGAGGACCTCGGGACGTGGATGGGTGATTGGTGCGGGGCGACTCGGCAGTGGTTCGGTCCGAAGTGTAGGCCCAACCTCGAAACTGTCGCGAAATGCTCGGGGTTGTCCTCGCTAGGAGCAGCCTCTACAGTAATGAATTCGTATTCATTACACTCTCCCACCTTCTAAATAAGGTGCCCTTATACGTAGCCGAGTCTTGCAGTTGCGTGAAAACTGCAGATCTCCAGTTGAAACTGATCTGACGGTGCGGAAGCGTGTTGACTTTCGAGTTGACGCGTGGCTGAGCGCGTTGACCATGCGAATTTCAAAGAGTTGGAATGTCAGCCGTTGATACTGCCGATGTCGATCGGGCGGTTGACAGCGAATGTCGAGTTGAAAATCTGTCGATGAATGAAAGCCGTTGATGTGGCGGATTCGTGTCGAACGGCACGGATGAACGCGATGTCGGCTGTAGTTCTGACGCGCTGTCAGAGATCGATAAATCTGGTGTTGTTGATGCCGATGAGCTCCTCGCGAGCGTCCGTCGTGCTGGATGTGTCAGACGAAAGTGTCAGAGAAACTGACAAGTACAGTGCGAGAGCACTCTTTCTCCCCCCCCTTGGAAGAGAACTGCTGCCCACCAAAATGTGCACAGGTGCGCGGGCACAAAACCACAACCACCCTGACGCCGAGGGTAGGGCAGAATACCAAGTGTTATGACTTCCCGCCTGAAATGCAGCCGCTGTGTAGTCCAAATTGCTGTCGGTGGCGAAATCTTCACTGTCGAAAACCCCGAAAAACGCCCAGGGTAAACTCTGTCGAAGTCCCTTCGAAATAATATCGTTTTTGCAGGGACTCGGCATTAAGAAAATCTTCTCGTTGTCTTGTTGTCGCGACTGTTGCTGCAGCATCTCTCGTTACTGCCACCTCGAAATCCCCCTCGTGGCAGTATCGAATCACTTTACTGCTGCCCAATCTCCAGTTGGCAGCTGCTGCAATCCCGAATTGTTGCTGCCGTTTGGCTGGTTGTTGTGGCGAAAATCTTCGTTGTAGTGTTCCAGCTGTCGGCGCCCTCGGCAGTCTTGTCCAGACTCACCGAGGCCTTTGTCGCGTTGCTCCGAAAACTCCCGGGCAGGGACGAAAACAGTCGCTGCTCTTCCCCCTGACCTCGCAAATATTTTTTCAAGCTCGAACTTGACGGTCGATGACGTCAGCTGAGAAAATAGTAGGAAGGAGATCAAGTTTAACTAGGGCCTAGGCTTAGGAGCCTAGGCCCAACTAGGATGTCGAGTAGTTTGTGCCAAGGGTGAGAGTCGAGAAAGTTGGAAAGGATGGTTTCACTATAGGTTTCGAAGAACATATAGCAAAGGAAACAAATAAGGTGCACCACCAAACAAAGTTTATAATAACTACACTAACTACAGCTACAGGCAGTTACAAATATAAGTTCTGACACTCCCCCATAACTGCCTGCATCAGGAGTTTGTGCAGAATACAACCTGCAGGGGTACACATGCAAAATAATAAACAAGCAACAGCAGGTACTGCAGGCGGGCTAACACTAGCTGGTCACCCCCTCCATCTCCTCACCCTCCTCCTTCCCTTCCCCCACACTGCTGCAGGAGCAGCAGAGAGGGGGGGGAAGAGAGGAGAGGTGGAGGGACGGCTGCTGGTTGCCTCACACCCGCCACCCCGGTGCCACTCCCCCGTCTCCCCCACACCCTCACACCCTCCCCCCCAGCGGCAGCTGCAGCAGTGGGAACGAAAGGAGGAGGAGGGGAAGGGAAGGATACGACCCAACGCTCCAACACCCGCCACCCCCATACCCTCCCCCCCACGGCTGCAGGGAGACAAAGGAGGAGGGGGTGGGCGGGAAGAAAGCCGCAGAGCGGCTACAATGTGTCGGCGCAGGTAGGTCAGGGGCGGCTGCAGTGAGAGCAGGTGCGGAGAGGCGCGTCGTGTGCCACGGGGCGCACGACAGGTAAGTTTAAGGTAAGGGCACCGTCGTGTGCCTCGGGGCGCACGACGAGCAGGGCACCGTCGCGTGCCACGGGGCGCACGACGGGCAGGTTTAGGGCACCGTCGCGTGCCACGGGGCGCGCGACGGGCAGAGTAGGAGTTACTCGCCAACCGGGGGCGGGACAATAGAAAATCGCCACGCGCCCTAGGCGCGCGACCGGAAAAACGTAGCAGCGGAAGCATGAGGCGGGCCCACAGGCCAGGACGTAACTCGCTCTGATAGCATGAGAAAATAGTAGGAAGGAGATCAAGTTTAACTAGGGCCTAGGCTTAGGAGCCTAGGCCCAACTAGGATGTCGAGTAGTTTGTGCCAAGGGTGAGAGTCGAGAAAGTTGGAAAGGATGGTTTCACTATAGGTTTCGAAGAACATATAGCAAAGGAAACAAATAAGGTGCACCACCAAACAAAGTTTATAATAACTACACTAACTACAGCTACAGGCAGTTACAAATATAAGTGCTGACATCAGCTACCCCGGCGACGTTGTCGTGACTCGCCGAGGACTTCGGGGCAGAGGCGAAAAGCTGTCCTTCCTCCCCCCACCTGGTGCGATAATGTCCACCTGTGTTGCGGCTGGTACCCCTGAAACTCCACAGATTTTGCCGCCAAGAAGTTCACCTCGGCAGTTTTCACGCGCTTATCCCGGCGCCGCTGCACTCCGCCGTATGCACGAAAATGTCAGCCGTCACCGCCGAACTCTTGTAAAACCGAGACTCGGTACTCTCCGGAAATGTCGGTGTTGAAATTTCTCGTACGTCTTGGTCACCTGCAGGTTCTCCCCTTGAAGAACCGGTGTATCTAGCGTGCCCACCCGTCGCCATTTTTCTCTCCATGGTTAACCACACTAGCAACCCACCAACAGGAGGTGATCTTTCGTGCGGAACCCAGAGTCATGGGTCTACCGGGACCGAATTTCACGGAACCTAGCCCGCATCCACGCCGCAGATCAGGCCGAAGAATTTCCCCAGATGGCTTCGAAGTACACCGTAAACCGCTGAAACAGTTGGCGAGCAGACGTTAACCCGTCTCTCACCGTAGGAATTAATCCCGAAAATCATGGTTGAGGCAGCAGTCCCGAAGTTATTTTCCGCCGCGTAACCCCGACGTTTCCGCCGTTGACCCTGGTACTCCGACGTTCACCCGTCTTCGTACCCGCCGAAATTACTTAGCAAATCCCATGTATCCTTGGCGATGCGCCCCTCGCCGCGCCTCCATGTAAAAATATCAAACCCTTGCGGGTGTCTACCGAATAGACTCCGAAATTCGCGATGGAGTGGTGCACGTTCTCAACCTTTCACTCAAGTGATCTGCTGGATCACCCACAACTTTCCCTCCGTTTTTTTTTTTTTTTTTTTTTGTCTTCACCCCCCGACAATTTCGCTTGCCGCCCGTTCACCCAGCGTCCGCTTTTGTCGGATGAGGTTTATCTCCGTGTTGCTCGCGATTTTTCTGACATTCGGTGAAGGCGCGAACGCTATCGTAGCCGGGTCATGTTTATCGGATCAAACAGTCGAACCGGCCGCTTCGTTGCCCACCGCGCTTATCGCGTTTTAAAACTCCACAGCTTCGGAAAGCCCCTTCTTCGCCGCTACACCATGTCGAGTAGACCGTTGAAATAGGAGAAACTCCGACAGCTGCACCAACTGCTTCAGCTCCGACTTTTTCGGCGGGGTAACTGCTGCCGATGGTCCGGTTTTGTCGGGGCCGAAACAGTGCCGCACCATGAAATTTTATTGTACGCCCAGCTGTCGAACTGGCGCAATACCCGCGCTTTTAGCCAGCACAGGGCTAAACACAGGGCCCCACCTTTGGATCCA